TCAATTATTGAAAATGGAAGTAATTTAAGGGCAAAAACATGTCTTTATGGTTTTTGCTTTTATGCCTGATAGAGATTCTTATTTGCCAAGGACTTGAGGGATTGATGTAATAGCTGCTACCCTCGCCCCTTTTTAGACTTATAGCTCAAAAAAAAAAAGCTTTGGCTGTAGTATAGAGAAAGCCACAATAAAATACCATCGAGCAAAAAAAAAATCCAAAATATTGGTGCATCAGTAATAATTTCAATGCTGCCTCTAAATGAATATTTCAAAATAGCCATGGCCGAATTTTGGGCGTCTAGGTTATTTATGTTTATATTAATTTGAAAGAAAAACCCATATGAGCCCCAAATCCTCAGGTTAAAGCTATTAATGTTTTAGAACATAAATAGAGTTTTGGAAAATCTTTGGTTTGTTTTAGTTAAATTCACTAATAGGTGATAACGCTAGGCGGCTTTGCAGTTCTATAGACTGTAATGCTTTTGCTAAACTTTGGTAAAGAACTTGGCAATGAATTTTGAAAATTGTTACTGTGTGCGCTACTCTCAACTCCGCCACACTTGTGTTTGTTTTCATAATGTCTTTTGAGATTGCTTTGCTGATGGAACTTTCTATTGCAAAAAGAACACTGAAACATGGCTGGTTTACCGCATTCATACTGCACATGCCTGCGCATGTTTCCTCGATGTTTGTAGACCTTTCCACAATTTTGACAAGGGTACCCTATCTCTTGCTCAATTTTTCTCAGGTACCAAGAACCATCCTCGCCTGGAAAAAGGATTCTGCTGTACTGGGTACCACCTTTAGTAAAGGTTCTTAAACATTTCTCGTTTTTTTTTTTGTAGTCTTGCACCAATATGCCCTTGCTTTTCAAGTTTGAGAACAATTACTAGTGAAACATAATTATTATTTTGAAAAAAAAAAAACAATAGCATATTGAGACAAAATCATCACACAATCCTGGTATTCTTTCGATCTGAAGAAACTGATTGTGATCACGAGGTTTGTTTATGAAGCCTAAAAAAAAAACAGCTTGCGCCAATGAAATCGTTTTAAAACCGGATGAAAATTAATTAAAGCAAACCTCAAGTGACTTAGATCAGTTTGTTCAGATCGAAAGAATACTTCTAGAATCAAAGAAAAACAACAACCGTTTCAAAAAAACAAAATATATATTGGAAACTGATAAATTAACAACATATTGTATTAGATGAAATAATTGATAATAATTATTGACATCAGAACTTTGGTTTCTTGGTTGGTTAGCCTGGACCTTGACCTAGTTGTGGTGGAGGGTTCTGGAACAAGTGAACGAAAGAACTTTAGTAATTAAGTATTGATTGTGCATAAGACTTTCCTTGCCAGAAACAAGAAAAGTATGCAAACATTTAAATAATCGATACAAGCAATTTTCTCACAGAAGAGGCAAGAAAAATGCTGAAGTGTCGAAAAAAAAAAAAAAAAAAAGATTTCACAGGTAACACTAATAATTTAAAAAATGGCTTACCAGTAAAGCGAAGCCGCAGGCCGTCATCATAGCAGTCAAGTCTTGTTGTCCTTCGTCTGGGATGGGTCTACAGATGCATCACAGAAGCGTAACGAAAATCCGGGACCGGGACCATAACAGGATTTATGGCAAAGTTTGGATGAAAGGTAAATAAACGGGATTGCGAAGTAATGGAAATCATAAGTAATGGGAATCATAAGTAATGGGAATCATCAGTAATGGGAATCATAAGTAATGGGAATCATATGGAAGGAAATAGCAGTTAGAAGGAGCCTATCCAATTGGGGACATCTACTGGAGCTCTTCTTTAATCCTGTGGCCCAACCCCCCACCCATCTTAACTGCTGGACAAATGAAGCAGAACAAGGAAATTTTTAGTTGAACTTTGGATTCCAATATTATATTAACTAAAAAAGAAATCAATGAGCGGTTTGCATAATTTAAAAGATAATTTCACAAACTGCTCATATCATATCTTTTTTAGTTCGCTGAATATTGGAATTTGAAGGTAACTTAAACATTCGCTTGTTCCATTTCATTTGTCCAGCAGTTTAGTTTCAATTGCTAACATTTCCCTGCCCACTCCCTGACCACTCCCTTACAAGAATAATTATAAAATCGAAAAAAATTTATAAACCCTCATTTTTAGGTACATCTTTTCTGGTACTTAAATTGTCAACAGACTCCACATTCATATCTTTAACGTCTTTCTCAAAATGTGAGAAAAAGAACAGAATGTTGCTAACCACATTTCGTACATATATGTGTTATGATTTCTGCAGGAAAAGATTCACAAATCTAACTCAAAAAATCACTTATTAATGGTTTGTTTTAATTTTTATTTTGCCGTAAGTAGGAAAAACTAATTAAAACAAACATTAAACTTAGGCAAAAAAGACCTAAAGATTTTTCGAAGTTCTGTCAAACATAAAAAGGAACTAAACTTTGCAAATGTCTTTTATTACTGAACCAGGATTTGTACAGTTTTCAAATAAAAACAGATTGCCACAAAGGAGGACAACCATTTTAGTTAAAATCTGATTAAACCATGATTTTTGTAGTGAGTAATAGAAGACGCAAAGCTCAATTGCTATCACACATTACACACATACATTCTGCAGGAACCTCACCATATATAAGGACAAAAAAATGGATTTCAGGAGCGTATTCCATAATTTGCTTCAGATATGTATGTGATTGACTGCACAAATTAAAATACAAAAAATGATGTAGCCTAGTTATGCTTTTGAACCCCAGCATTAATATTATTTTCTAGATAACATATTAGTTATTGTTCAACTATTGATGATGTCCCCTTGTATACTTATTCATTAATCAAATTATTGTGCATAAAGAAATACCCAATAATTTAATTTGAATGACAAAAAAAAAAGCTCACTTTGCTCAATCATAGAAAATCCAGATACATTGATTGATGTTAAAATTCAATTTTGAAAGACTGATCAAAAATACAATCTGAAAGTCAGTAAAAAAAAAACTATCATATTATAAATAGTTCCAGTTCAACAAAACAAAAAATAAATGCCTTGCAATAACAGATTTGTTATAAACACACTTTCATCTGTTATCAGAATGAGAGTGCCCCTATAAAAATCTTTTTGAACCAGTAGTAATATGTTGCTCCAAATTTCTCCTAAATTTTCCTTATTTTCAATACAGCATCACAAATATCACAAAAAACTTACAAAAATTTGTAAGTTCTTATAGAGATTTAGCAAAATCAAAAAGTATTCGACTTGCTGGAAAACGGAGTGTTGAAGAAATACAGTGCAAAATTTTGCAATGCATTTTTGAAATTCAATTTTGCCATATGAAAATTCATAGGACAACCACAAAAAGCTGACCTAGCAATTCTTCAAGATTACCAGAAAGAGAATTGCAGCGAATCTTCAAAATCACATTAAAAACTAGAATTCAATCTAGTATCAATCACAAAAAAATCAAAACAGCAAGACTAAAATTAGCCATGCTGTCAAACAATGTACAATAAAAAAAAAGGGCATTGAAAAAATAATGTACACAATAAAAAAGCATGCAACATGATAATACTTTGTTAGACCAAAAGTAAAATGAGATAGAAGGCCAACAGAATACTTGGGACACCAAGCAAGCGATAAACATGGATGAGTTTCTTCCGAAATAGAATACAGTTCTAGCAGTCAATTTATCTGCTTAGTGACCCTAGCATGATCGAATCGGCAAATCTGTATAATTTAAAAACAGAATATCACTTGCTTAGCGTTCCCAAAAAAAAGGAATTTCAAACCCAAAATAAACATTTATAGTCATAAGGCAAAACTATTTAGGATTCGAGATGTTAAAAATAAAACAAATTGAAAAATGAAAAAGCTAATAAAAATCATAACTGGAATTTAAAAAAAAAAAAAAACATCCAAAAGGCCTCCAAGACTTGACAGTCTCCAATTATTTTTGAAAAAAAAACCAAATGGCTACTGCAAAAAAAAATGTATTGATAGTACAAACAAGAATGAAGACAACCTTAAAAGTAGAAGATTATCAACACCTTTGTACAAAAAAAAAAAGATTGTTTATGAGCCACCATGTGGTTTTTTCCTCCCTTTCTCCCTTTACTCTTACCTTAGAAAAATATTTCTATTGGAGAATAAAAAATGAGTTCGAAACTAAGTGTGAAATTACAGTTCCTAACCTGTCTATTTCAAAAAGTAGCTAAGTATGTTGTTAACACTGCATAACAACATAATAAAAGGAAATCAAATCATTTCTGCATAAAATCATTAATGTCTTATAGTTCACAAGAATTTCAAACGTTAACTGTATAACGTCAAAACTAAACATTAAAAAAAGCACTCTACAATTATTACTTCAAAGGAGCCAAAAGAGAATTGTTTAAACTAAAATTTGACCCATAATGAGAATGTTAACTAAAAAGATTTCAACCAAGACAGAAAAAAACTGGTAAAGCCATTACAAAACGTTAATTTAATAATTTCAATCAATATTCAGCTGCCAACGCCATTATTCTTTCAGATAAAATTAGGGAGAAGGGTTAAAGATCTTTCAAAATGCTACTAATAACTACAACCAACTAAGAAGCTACAAGCCAAAGATAAGCAACAAACCAAAAAAATAAACAAGCGATTTAGTTAAAATGCACCCAAATTTAAAAGTTAACTAAAAAAATCAGAGACTGGATATCTGGGGTATTTTGCCTTATGACATACAAGTGTTTTAACCCAAGTGCCTATCTCAGATTAGCTCATTTTATGAAGCATTCATGGTTCACTTAATAAAGTTGTCTCCAACTACGATTTGATGTGACAAAAAAAAGTGTCCTGTCACATCTTTCGATTGGGCCAACATTCTTAAAAGTACCACAATGCATAAAAATTATAATTGCTGTTTCGGTAAAAACAAGATTCTAAATATTATTTGAACACGAGCCTCTGTGAGAACAACACCGGAGCAATAAAGAAATAAAACAAAAAATTACCTTGCGAGTCCCTGTGTGCGCCCACTGCCTCCTGTGCAGCTAAAAATACCTCATCTTGTGATTGATTACCCATTTGCCAGTGTCCAAAGCCTACAGAACAAAAATTTACCATAAATTAAGAGTTCACAATAAAGTGCTAGTTTCTTTAGCATAGGGGTTATAGGTTTATCTTAATTTATAATTAACAATATTATGTTAAATATTCAAAATCATATTTTATTCCAAAACAATTAATAGAATGCATTATCACATTCAGTATATTATTATAATGTTAGGTTTAATTAATTGCCTCTAATATTAATGTTCAATTTTTTAAGATAAAATTGCAAACTAGTTCTTTTAATGCCAAATTCTAGAGAAGCACGAGATACAGTGGTGCCACCATTTAAAATAGAATCCAAAGACATGTATACAGCCTGGTCAGAATACTTTCGACTTCGGAAAGTTCCTCTTAATTTAGTCAACAGTCCAGCAACATCGATAGGTTTGTTGTAGAAGCCGTCCAAATCTGCGAACAAAACCAAAAAAGTTTGGTTTAGTTCGAATTGAATCGGCTTTATAACTGACGACATAATAGTGTGGGACTTAAATTTAAAGATTCACAAAAAAGTATTTTTTTAACGAAAACTTGCCAGTATAGCTTTCTGTTTAAAAAAAAAAAACTTTCGTTCCACATTATTATGTTGAAACACAATATTATTGCTTTACAATGACTGGGTTTGGTAATTACATCTGCTAGCAAAATTAGCAAAGTTTGACACTGTCACATGAAAAAAGTAATAAAGTGATGTTTGTCAAAATTTGCTCTCTTTGTTTGCAGATGCAATTACGGAACCCAGCCAGTATCACAATCCCATGGATAATTTGAGTCGAAGAAGACTCAAATACCAAAAAATCATGATTTAATTATTGGGACTGTTGACAAAAATAGGATTTTGAAATTTTGTGTGCATATGCATTCTATTTTTTATATTGAAAATAAAATAGACAAAGTAAAAGTGAGTTTCATAAAAAGTAATGCCTAAATCTCCAAATTATAGATGCCTTTTTTTCAAAGGAAAATGTCGATAGTATAAAACTTTGACAAAAGACTTGAGCATTATGGACAAACAACAAACAGAACTACAATCAAAACACTAATTTAGACAGGGCTGCAAAGGCATTTACAAGTCCTGGCCATTCATAGCCACATCAAAATTAAGATGATTTCAAGCGTCTGACCAGTCGGTTACACTTGACAGATAAACAATGAAGTAAACGTCATTTGTTGACCAATTGGTCTTGAATGATGTAATTATGTCAAAGTTACCTACTGGTCAATCACTTGAAAACCCCCTTAGGGCAGGTATTATATACCTACTTTGAGAGTAAACTTAAAGTTAACTTCTGGAATTACATGTAATTCAAAAAGTTAACATCAAGTTAACTGTCAAAGCAGTTTTATGATACCCGCCCTTAGTGTAGGGCCACACAGAACGCGTTCAAAGTGGCATAAACGCGCTTGGCGACTAAAGCGTTTGGAACGTCTTTTGCGACTACAATTGAAATAATGTAATATATAGCGAGAGAAGCGCAAAATGCAAAAAGCATCTTGTCGGGCCACTCGCTATATATTACATTATTTTAATTCTAGTCGCAAAAGACATTCCAAACGCTTTAGTCGCCAAGCGCGTTTAGGCCGCTTTGAACGCGTTCTGTGTGGACGTACACTTAGTTTTTTGATTGTCTTTTGGTTTGTTGCTGTTGGTCATAATGTTCAAGTCTGTATGAAGCTTCACAATAAACAATAATACAAGGCCAGTATGTGCTGGCTAACCTAAACTAACTTGTGCAATGAAAATAATAAGTCCACACATACCATGTCAAAGTAAACATGCCATGTTGCGAATTTATTTTTGAATTACTTATTATTGATAATTTTCAATACAGTTGTAATATTATTACTGAAAATTATCAAGAGGAAAAATAGGCAAAACGATTTATTGAATCTGACAAGTCATACAAAAACATTAAATATTATCTTGACTGGATTCAGTTTTACCTTAACACTCAATTAAAGATGGTTAGTTCACAAAAATCAATATTTACCTTGTTGTGATGATCCTTCTCCTCCGTGACTAGGTCCTGCTCCTTCATCCATTTGTTCCATATTGCTCAAATCATCGTCATCCAATGTCAGATCCTCAATACTATCTTCGTTCATTTCATCATTGTATTCAGACTTCGGTTCCAGCATTAGTTCAGTGTGCGTCTCTAATTTTTCTTTGATCATAGGAACTTGAGATTGTTGAGAGCCATTGTCATCTTTATGGCGTAGCATTATTTCATGTTTGGTCTCGATGGATTCAGGCACGTCAGAGTTCATTTTAACGTTAACAGGTAACGAAGTTGCTGCGGGAATGTTCTGAGGCAAGCTGTGAGCGTCAGAAGAGTTGGAGGCATCATGGTGATTATCCAAGTCCTCGCTTTTGCGGCGCATTCGTTTCTTCTTACGCGGTGTAGGCGAAATGGATCCCTCTCTGTAAAAATTAAAGAAATAAATTAGCAATCCCTTCTGGAACTTCAAGTTTTAAATCTTACCTATCATCGACACGGCTTCTTTGTTCAATGGTCAGACCTTGTACTTTTGGTAACTGTGGTGGAGGGCTTTTTGGAGCTGGGGCAACTGGTGCAGCTCTTTTAGCAGGTTCTTCTTTCTTATTATCACTCAAACCCTTGATTTGCAAAGATTCCGCAGCCTTGAGAAGAGCTCCCAATTGATCTTGGGATATGTTGACCTCACCCCTGTACATGTAATCCATCATTGCCTTCAGTTCTTGGAATTTGACATCTTTCAAGATGAGGATGGGGTGTTTGTCGTAGTGTCGAGACAACAAGGACTCGAAATAGGGACTGCAAGCTGACAAAACGACTTTGTGGGCTTGCAAGAACTTTCCCTCGGCGGCGAGGGTGCAGTCAACAAGTTTCTCATTCTCTAGTAGAGTGTCGAATACTGCTACTAGTGTTGACTGGTGATTGTTCCACCTGAGGCAGAACTGCTGATCGTCATCCATGTTTATAGCTGCAACAAAAAAAAACACAATATTGAAATTCAGCTTCTTCGCAAATAAAATCAAAGTATGAAACTATTTAATGAAATGTAGACAACAGAATAAATGTTTGTAAACAATTATTGTTCCTAGAATTTGTAATCTGTTATCAATGACATAATAAATGTTTAATAGAAAAACAAATGGGGGCAAAAATGTTGTTTGGATCAATTTTAGGTTAAGGGCAAACAAAAATTTGTTTGGACTGCGGAGATAATAGATTAAGTTGAATAGTAAAATTATTGAGAAACAAATTACCATAACTAATATTAAAAATATTATGCTGGTACAACAAAATAAAGCACACCAAAACACAAACACCAAATGAAGGAAAATTTTTAAAGAATGAATGTCAAACTAAGAAAATTTTAGGTGTGAATTGAATGAAGTCAAATCAGCTTCTATTCCTTCAAAGCTTAGTGCTGGATAGAGCAGGAGGGGCGCTGCCAAGTTGACGCAAGCTCAGTACTCAGTGACAGTCATCGAAAACATGGCCGCGGCCGCTACACACAAACTGAATTGCTGGCGGAAGGCCCCTGAATACCAAAATGGCGGATTAAATGGGAGCAGAAAAAAATTAATAAAAAAAATTTAAACACTCGAGGACAAAACCGATTTGTTGATAAATATTAAGAGATAAACCCGGAAAAACATGAAATTCGCCATTGAAATTTACACACAAACACGAAACACAAAATCCTGAAAACAAGCACAAAATTCCAAAATTGATGAAAAAAAATCCAAAAAAAAGCCTACCTTAATTGGCACTAATCGCTAAAATATCACAATAAAATTCACTTATCGACTCTGTCTGAAGGAGCGACTAAATTCTGGTGGAGTTACTTCTTCAATGTTTTCTTTCACTTCCACCCTCATCAGGTGGCTTCGATCTTGGAACTAAAAGCGTAAAAGCGATGGGTCTGGTGGGTCCGATTCAGCGGCAACCGGAGCCGAAGGACGTGCGTGGCGCTGCTAAAAATATTGCGCAATGAGCATCTGCGCATTGACGCCGGCCGATCCACCAATCAGGCAGCGAGCTTTCAACTCTAGGCAACGGGTATAACAAGCTTCAGAAAACTTCAGCGTCGTAGGACATGCCATCGACTCCGTTTTCCGCTAAGCCGACCACGAATTGTGGAAGAGAGATGAATATACCTGAAAAAAGGATAAACTGTTGTTTAGAGACAGCCTGAGACTACGGACACGGATTCTACTTTGGCGTCGATGGTTTTCCATGTTGCAGTAATTTATAGAAAAGATGCAAAATAATTTTAAATAAAAACTGACTTATAAAATTCTCTAATTATTATGTTTTCTCATAGGAATCTTAATTAAATAAAAAATCAATTAATTTAGGAGGAGTTAGGTCTACAAAACGTAACCTATTTTATGTGCTAGTTTAGGTAGGTAGGTATTCAGCTAAAATAAATATTTCATGGAAAATTATTATTTCACGCTTGAATAAAGCTGGAAAATATACCGAATAGGTACCTCTAGGCTTTGAAAGGCTATGATAGGATTTTTTAAGGAATCGGAAAGCTAGGGAATAGGGTAGGTACCTAGCTATTTCATTTGATTGATTCAATTTTCATTAAGAAAATAATCTCAACAAATTAACTAGTTAATTTCTAATATTTCTATTGAAAACATAATACCTTAAAGCTTAGACGGCCAAAATAATTCTGGCATTATTATGGAATACCAACCTGCAAAATAGAACCTTATTAACACCTTCCTTTGCTATATAGGTACTATAGGTACCTAAATTCCTAACGTAAGAAAATAGGAAGAAAGAAATTCAGATACCTATTGGTAGCTATAAACTATAAACTAGGTATAAATGTTATAGTAGTGAAATAAATAAAGCAAAAAACTGGCTAGACTCTAGACAATAAAAAGTTAACGTTAAAAACACTGAAAAGACCAAAAATATGTCTTTTCTACCTTATAAACGCTTATTCCAATCCTGGGAATGTACTGATGATACTTTAAGGCATTGCAAAATAAAATTTTAAAAATTCTCCTTGATTATGACTTACAGAACACATACCTACAGAATTATTTTCACCTATATACATAGGATAGGGAACTAGGTACCTAAGCATCGACATATCTGTAAGGTAAAAAAGATCCTAATGTCAGAGCAATGTAAATTAATCTTTAAAATAATTAATAATCAGCAAAAATATAACTCTTCAATAGAACATACAAATGAGATACACAAACACTTGATCAGAACAAACTATTTATACCTATAGGTACCTAGCAGAATTAAGATAGGATTCTATTGTTTGTTAGGATCCACATCTAGGACGTTCAATGATTCACATGATAATATTAAAAATACATATACCTACCTACCCTACAATTATTTACAGAAAGGCTTAAAGAATATTTAAATTAAATGTCTGTTCCAATCATATAGTACTGGGTACTTAAGGATTTTGATTCTGACGTTCACGTTCTCAATTGAGATAGTATTTATTAATCGACTCGAGGCAGTGTAATCTGTAATGCATCATGCATCTGGTTGATTTAATTTTATATTTTCCAAATTATTATATATTATGTTATATGTATGTACCTATGTACTGTTATTTTTGGGTATAAATGCTATTTCTAAGGTAACGGTTAAGTAACTAAACTTTTGGCTTCAAAAGAATTTGAGGTACCTAATGTATATTTTAATACACCAGTATTTAATGTTTTAAAAGTAAATTAGTTTTTCTTGTTACCAGTATTTCAAATACCTACTTATTTCAGAAATTATCTAAATTTTATTTATGTATTTGTTGAAATAGGTAAGTGATTTTCAAAAATAATGTACCATAGGTATTCATTCGCTATGAGAACTATAGTGAAAACAAAATGGTGCTCCACATTGAGTTTTTTGTGTGGATCCATTGATAAAACACTTGGAATGGGAGGATCAGGTTTTGAAGTTGAAAGTATAGCACCAGAGGAAGCTCATTTTTATGCTCGATTTCATTAGATGACACAATCAATGGGCCAAAAGTTACTAATGTCAATATAAGGCCTTATATAAATCCTTATATACGGTATTATGGTTTGGGGTGGTCTGGAACAGCTCAATGTTGCACACAATTATATCTTCAAAATTAATCATGTATAGGTATGAAAACGGTAATCTATATATCCAAACCCAGCAACTATAATAATCAAATTTTTGATGTAAAATCCTTCATAGGTTTTACGTAAACCATCTATTTTATTTATTATTCATAAAAGGTTTCATCCACAACAAGTTTATACAATAATTAACTCTTAATTAAACTTATATGTAAACAATTAATTAATTTTGTAGCACCTAGATGTTATAAACATCTGTATGGTGCTCTTGCTCTCCAATATTCAAAGAATATCAAAAATCAAAAAATAAATAACTTGTCTTCATACCAATAGATTAAGGATAGACGGCTTATGAACACAAATAATTATTCACAACTTCTTTGTAGAGAAGAAAGACAATGAAGAAAGTAAGAAAGTAACAAAATGAAGAATTGACAAAATCCCTGCCACCACCTATTTAAATTTAATGTGTATGTAAATACATATAAAATAATTAAGCTTTAATCAAACAATTCTTCAAATTGACGGTGATTTCGTAAAACTGTTTCTTCGCTCAGAATTCTTGATTTCAAACTTCCACATGTCTTATGGAAAAAGGTAATAAATTGTAAATTTTTGGTACTAAATAGTTTACCTATAGGTACACTCTAGATTTAGAATGTTGTTGCTATAGCATTTAGAATGTTGTTGCTAAATGCTAACTGCTAGTTGTAAACTATTTTTTGCTCTGGGACGAGTGTTAATGTTAATGCTTAACAAAATGCGGCAATCCAAGGTTTTTTTATGCATAAAAGTGCATCCTGCACTGCATATTGTAGATCTCACGCTACAAATCTATTTTTGTAAATATAATTTCATAATTTTGTATTTCTGTATTACGTTTAGTTTGTGTAGTAGACTGTTATTGTACATCCTATCTATACAATAATAATACCGTAGTATACCTGATAATGGATTCGATGATGGTCTTATACATCATTATCAAATAGGTGTTTTTTTATTTAAAAATTCTCTTAATAAGTAAAATGTGTGTATAAGTTTCTGTATCCTATATTAGAGAGTTATTCAATTTGAGGTTGCCATTTGACAAATTTGTCAATCATTATTATAATACCCACATATTTTATGAAAGCAGTTTCCTTGATAGTCTGATTATCAAAAATTATTTTATTTGGTCGTTGGATGTTATGAAATTGCTTCAATTTTAAAATAACCAGTCCAGCTCCAGCTAGATCTAGGAGGTTATTTTTCAAACAGTATAGGTACTTTGGGAAATCATATATTTAAAAAAAAATTCCAGTATACCTAGGTACGAAGGAACTCAAAAAAGCTTTTTCTTTTGTGTTCCTGACCAGCCTGCATATAATATGAAGAATTTGTTCAACATACCTAGGTATATCTACTAAGTCTTTAGCATAGTTTGTGCTATTTTTGTTTGGAACAAATAAATACATATACATATACCTATATTTCTTTTAATTAAAGAAAATCTATTCTCAAGGATTTTTTATTAATTAACAGTAGTAAGTAATAACTTTAAGCTTCGTTGGCGTAACCTAAGGGCATAACCATAATATGTCAGTCGCCAATAAGGAAATTCTGAATTTTTGGTTTCAGAAAACTAGTTATGAATCGTATTATGCAGATTTAGATTTAGGTATTCAAGACTGTTTATTTTGATTTCATCCCCTTTAGTCCTTATAATTCGCAAGACCCAATTAAACTCCTCCTAGAGACTCTCTGGATGATCTTCTATATTGCTTCGGCACCTGCCATCATTAACAAACCATCTCAGTCCTAAAAATGCTCCACTAAATCAATACTCTGTGGCATTCGAAAATATTGAGCCTTCTAAAGAATTTTAGAACCCTGCTTATATGGCTATTTTCCATCCAGTCAAAATTCTTGGTTGATTATTCGGTACCTACCCTGTATTGCAGTATGTAGGACAGTCAATCATGATTTTTTTTGATTTGGAAACCCAATTCTCAATTTTTTAATTTAGCGGAAGTAGGTAGGTATACTCCTATACTAAGCCTATAGTAGATTTTACTAGGTATTTAAATCATTTTCCAATTTAATTAAGTTTGGTTGAGATTGATTGAATGAAAACTACCAGATTGAATCAGGCATAGTACCTATAATTTTGAAATTTACAATTCTAATTAAAATCTGATAAATAATTTCAATCTCATCGTTTTCCTTAATAAACAGAGCTTTTTCCTAATTCAATCCAAATTGCACGTCCTGATATACCTACCAATAATTTTTCGTCTCTTTCTAATCAATTTGATTAAAAAAGGACGAACATAATTGTAACCGATTCGGATCAGACCGACCAAACTTACGAGCCTACATTTTCAAATTAATCTGTAATGTTTTTCTGAAGGCGCGAAAGCCGCGACACAAAGTAGAATCGGTGGGCATACAACTTTGTTGAAGGAAGTGAGCTAGAGCGGTGCCGCAGCAGCCTTGATGATTAGCAGATTAGTGGAGAGGAAATGTAAGAAAATACCTATTGGAAAAAGGCACACGAAGCCCCCTTTTCCCTTCAAAAATGGTAAAATGAAACACCGACACCGGTTACCGGTATGCCGCTATGCGTGTGTATAGATAGAAAACTGCCAATTGCCAGCCAGTCGCTGGAAAATTACCTGGAGCTGATCTGACAATAAAATGAGAAAATAATAAATGAGTCCATTGTTTTGAGACTATAATTCTTTGCCAAAAGATAAAATGTACATATGGTCATCGAAGGAGGACTAAACAGGGGAAAATTTTTGATTTCCCCTGTATTATTCAGAAAATAAGGGTCATTCAAGGAGGACTGGTCAGGGAAATTTTTTTGACTTTCTCTGTATTTTTGAGAAAATCCAAAATAGCCATTTCATGTAGGTACCTACCTTACGATTTTTTCCGTATAGAATCTGAAATTGCAATTTAGAAAACGATAGGTAGGTACCCACTGGTACTTTTTTTTTTATGGGAAGCCCTATTTTCGAGACTATTTTTTTTTCATATTTGGACGGCGTCGCTTTTTCTTAAGTAGGTACCTAATGGCCATTTGCACCGCTATAACTTAAGGGATATGTAATCCAAGTGGAGCTTTGACTGTGACTCTCGTAGAAACAAAAGTCACATTCAAAAGCTTCACTTAAATTAAATAGGTATCCCTTAACATCCCTTAAATGATAGCGGTGCAAATGGCCATAATTTTCATTGACGGTAAACATTGTAAACAACATTTTGTAGATGACCCCATAAGAAAGTGTCAACTACCGCGTACCTACCAGGACTATTTTAAT